GACTGGTTTTCTGTGAACATGGGTCCCATTATCCAATGTGTTGATCAATTGGACATTGACTTCATACCTGATCCCAGGTAGTGTAGATCTTCCCTGACCTCTGACTCTGGCCCATCCTTCCACTCCTCCTCCACTCTTTCTGTCCAGTTTACAAGCTAATCTCTGTGTGACAGGGGTTATTTCTTATGTTGTTTTTGTATCTTGGGGTCCAAATCCTCAGTGTGTAGACTTTTCTAGAGCACAGAATAACTTGTTTGAACTTACTGCTACAGTAAATGCAGAATATGATAGGTCGACTTGGTTTTGTATAGTGGGTTTATTTCAGTGCTGTCAACTTCAAACACCTCAGAATTGGCCAATAGGTCAATCTCCTGTTCAGCAAATGTCACCAAAAGCCCAAACAGACATGTAGATGCCTGCATGAAGATCAAGTGGATGTACAACAGGGAACATATGATGCTGGGTCATGCTGAACACAGTTTTCTGGATGTTTCTGCAGTGAGATGCTGGACAGGCTTTGCTGCAGATTCTGCTGTGACAGGGCCAGGCACTTCACCCAGCCATAGCTGAACCACTTACTTGATTTGTCTCTACCATCTCAACAAAAAGACATCCTGTCTTTTGCCTGACTTCCACTATTTGTTCAAATTCAACAACTGGCCATAGTGTCTGAGTTATGCTTAATTGCTCCTTAATTAGAGAGCTTCAGGGAGGACCTCCTTGATTAGTAAAAGACATTGTCAGGAGGGACTACTGAGGAAAGAACTGTTTTTAAGCTATCTTGATTTGGGCTAAGAGGTCTGTTAAGTTACTGTCAGAATCATTCTTCACAGCTGTCACACCTTATCCATACACTAGAAAGGCCATTAATACAGCTAAAAAGGGGTATCTGTCACTCTTGTGCTAAAATGCAGTGTACTTCCCATAAATAGTTTTTAAAAAGACTTGGGTCCAGATCATTTAGTGCTTGTATCAGAGGATGATAAAACTTTACTATGTTTGATTTTTGTCAGTGTTAAAAGATTTATCAAACAGTTAGGTACCTTGCATTTACAATGAGAAAGTGACAGGCATTTTTCTTCTACTCAGTGTCAGGATGAAGCAAAGGAAGAGTAAAATAATGAAAGCTAAGACAATAGGCAAGTATCTATCACATTTTAATTACAAATCACTCAAAAGCAGAGTGAAAATATGGATAGAAGAAAATCAAGAGAAATGAAGTGTATCTTCAAGGAGCTGTTTTATAAATATTTGAAAAATAGTGAAAAGTAGTCTGAAGAGCATCTAAGCATCCACTGTAACCATAAAGATTTTTTTTAGTAATCCCAGATGATTTTATCAGTTTTTAGCTTTTCTAATTATTGTCTGTTTTTTTTTTTTTTTTTAGTTCTTTTCTAGAGTTATGGTCAGGTTTCTCTACTCCTTATTTCTGAGTCTTACAGAAACTGCAGTATACTTTACTTTTTTTTTTTTTTTTCTTATTCTTTCTTTCTTTCTTTCTTTCTTTCTTTCTTTCTTTCTTTCTTTCTTTCTTTCTTTCTTTCTTTCTTTCTTTCTTTCTTTCTTTCTTTCTTTCTTTCTTTCTTTCTTTCTTTCTTTCTTTCTTTCTTTCTTTCTTTCTTTCTTTTGACTTCTTTTAATTTCTTTTATAACCCTCAAGGTAAGTTAAAGATTTACAGGTTTGTGTTTTCAAATTGCTGGAGCCACTTACATCATAGAATCTGCTCTAGCTTCTGATTAAGTGTGTTTCTTGACATTTAGACTTGAATTTTAATGTTATTGCACTTCATTTTTGCTTATTGATTCTAAATTACATTTATTTCAGTGGGTATGTTTACTTTTATATATATATATTAATTTTTATTGATAGTAATTAAAAAATTACCCCTGCAAAAGTGATGGAGGTTGTATATAATTGTATTACTAACACTTAGATAAATAAAGATTACATGGCTCTATCTCCTGAATCTAACACTGTGAAGCCTGAACCTGAAATAATTCATTTAGACACTAAAGGTGGAATTGTAAAGCTCAGGAGAAAAGTGGCTTAATTCTGGAAATATGTTCTTAGAACTCCTCCTGGCCTTGGGCTGCAAAAGATGTAGTCTGGACAAAATAAATTCCATTTTATCACTTAAAAAGATGATTCTGGAGTCTCATTTCTTGATAGTACATATTCCAAAGAATATGTGACATAATCATATAAAATGTACAATGGAGGACTGGAGGTAAGTGGGGCAGACTATAGTCTATAAAGTAATCACAGAAGTAATCACAGAATTGTAGGGGTTGGAATGGACCTCAAAAGATTATCAGGTCCAAACCGCCTGTCAAAGCAGGTCCCTTAGAGCAGGCTGCCCAGGTAGGCATCCAGATAGACTTTTAATATCTCCAGAAAAGGAGACTCCACATTTTCCCTGAGCAGCCTGTTCCAGTGCTCAGTCACCCTCACTGTGAAGTTTTTTCTCATCTTGGTGTGGAACTTCCTGTGCTCCATCTTGTGGCCATTACTCCTTGTCCTGTCCCCACAAACCATTGAAAAGAGGTTGGCCAACTCCCTCTGTCTTCCACACCTCAGGTATTTACACACATTGATGAAATCCCCTCTCAGTCTTCTTTTTTCCAGGCTGAACAGACCCAGGTCTCTCAGCCTTTCTTCATAGGGAAGATGCTCCAGGCCCTGTAACATCTTTGTGGCCCTCCACTGGACTCTTTCCAGGAGATCACTGTCTTTTTTGTACTGGGGAACCCAGAACTGGACACAGTACTCCAGGTGAGGCCTGACCAGGGCAGAGTAGAGGGGGAGGATCACCTCCCTTGACCTCCTGGCCACACTCCTTTTAATGCAGGCCAGGATCCCATTGGTCCTCGTGGCCATGAGGGCACACTGCTGGCTCATAGTCCAGGTCTTGCTGAATGGTAGCACAGCCTTCTGGCATGTCAGCCACTCCTCCCAACTTTGTGTCATTGGTGTACTTGCTGAGGGCAGACACTATTCCCTCATCAAGATCATCGATGAAGATGTTGAACAAGACTGGACCCAGCACCAACCCCTGGGGAACACCACTAGACACAGGTCTCCAGTTGGACTCTGCGCCACCAATCACCACCCTCTGAGCTCGGCCAGTCAGCCAGTTCTCAACCCACTCCTCTATCCCACACTTTCTCAGTTTTGCTAGCAGGATGTCATGGGAGACAGTATCAAAAGCCTTGTTAAAGTCAAGGTAGATGACATCCACTGCTCTCCCTCCATCTACCCATCTGGTGATGCCATCATAGAAGGCAATAAGGTTGGTTGAGCACAACTTCGCTTTGGTGAATCTGTGCTGACTACTCCTCATAACATTCTTCCCTTCCAATTGCTTGGCGATAGTATCCAGAACAAGCTGTTCTAACACCTTTCCAGGGTGACTGACTGTTCTGTAGTTTCCCAGGTCCTCCTTCTTCCCTTCTTGAAGACCAGAGTGACATTGGCTATCCTTCAGTCTTCAGGCACCTCTCCTGTTCTCCAGGACCTTTCAAAGATGATAGAGAGCAGTTCGGCTATCATTTCTGCCAACTCCCTTAGCACACGTGGATGCATCCCATCAGGACCCATGGATTTGTGTGCATTGGGCCCACTCAGACGCTCCCGAACCACTCCCTCATCAAACAGGGGGGAGCCCTCCATTTCCCAGACCCATTCTCCTCCCTCCAGGGTCGAGGAGTTCAGGAGTTCTGGGGGAGAGTGGTGGGGGGGAAGGGCGGGAATCCTTGAAGCAAAGAGTGAAGCAAAGAAAGCATTCAGTATTTCTGCCTTTTCAGTGTCTCCTGTTACCAGGACACCCCACTAATCTCTTCCTGGCAATTCTTCTTCTGGTTTCCCATAGATTTTCTTAATTTTGACTAACTTTATGAGAAAGGGGGAAGAAGGATCTAAACTGTGTGAGATGTGAAAAACTTATTTCAGACTCCTTCATTTTTAAGATACACAAACTGTGATTTCTTCCGTTTTGCACATTGTGCTTTCACTCACACAATTAGTAAGGGGACAGAAAATGTTGCTTTCACCTCAGTTCCAGCTTAGTTCCCGTCAAAGTGGTTTAAAACAATTCTGCGGTGCATTGAAGTTCAGTAAGCATAGAGCACAGACAGAAGATGGGAGAAATGTGATGTGTGAAGTGGCATTTTAAAGAAATTTAAGTTTTACTAACACCTATCATTAACCTGTGTATCTACATGGGGATTGTTCATCCCTCTACAGTTATACTGTAAATATACTGTTATCCTCTGGATTGGATAATAATGTATATTTTCAGTTGTTTTAAAAATTGATTTAAGAAAAGGTCCAGCTAAGAATATGAGTTTAGCAGCTTTTTCAGCTGCCAGACAAACTCTGCTCTTGTTTGGTGACATACCTGTTGATGTCTTGATTTCTGAGCACATGTTTCAAGGTCATTTTTTTTCATGCTTTAATGGATTTCTCAGGCTTCCCAAACATTATTTACATTGTTAAATTCCCATAATAGATCTGATTTGACCTTGGGACACACAGAACTAAATTTAAAAGGTGATGTATAAAGATGGAACAAATAGCATTTGAATTTTTTGTTTTGCTTTTTAAAGAACATATGTTCTAAATAATTTAAAACCACAAATCTTTCCTCTGTTCTCTTCTTGTCCCGTGGCAATTCAAATCTTTACTGTAAAACAATGTAAATTACCAGAGAACTAGTGAAACGCTCATATAAAAGGGACTGAAAAGTTAAGCAATTGAGGAAAGAGATTTTTAGAGTATTCAGAACTATCTATTTTTCTATAGAACATCTCATGCATTCTGTTAGCAACAAAGCAGTCACTGTAAAAAGGAAGCAGTTTTATTATAACAGCCTATTGATATGCTTTGATACTGTTTCAGGAGATGTTACATCTTCTGAAAGCATTAGAAACAGTTCTGACTAATGGCAAATCTGGAAGATGAAACTTGCTGTGTTTCTGAATGTAGTGGTTGTGAACGAATATTTACTGGGTCTCACCATGTTAGAGCAAAAAGTGTGCTTGTCACTCATGATGACAGGCAGCTTTGAAGGTACACCAGCTTGCTCTGTGTAAGAGATACCAGACCAGTTCTAGACAAGTTGGTTTGGGTACCAGAACTATCCCTCAAACTCCAAGTCATTTTGACTTTGGTGGCATAGCATCTCAAGTTAGATAATGTGGGTTAACAAATAAAGCAACTCTTGTTGGTATGTCACAAAGTCTATTTCTCAGAATATGTATTAATGACTTTACAGATATTTAATACAGAAGCAAGAATCTGTTACACCTAACAAATAGAACACTACTTGTGATTTTGGATGTGATAGTATTTTTATGTATGTCCCCACTTCCTTAGTCTGAGAAGGGCTCTGCTGTATTTAAAACAAAAACAAAACCAGAAACACTCAACTAGTCATTAAAAAGAGAACCATTTCATTAAATTACCATCAGTTTAGAGAAAAAACTAAAATGTCCAGGAAATGCTTTTGCTGAACGTTATGTAGCTGAACTGTATTTTTCCCAAGCATCCCCAGCTCAGTGAACCATGATTCATTAGTCTTGAAGACTTCAGAGTACTTCAATCTCTGTTTATCAAATAATGGGATGGACACATAATATTAAAAGCAGCAATACACATTTTACACATGAAGCTTCTAATGGACAGCTAATTATTTATAGCTCATGTAAGCCACAAAGTAAAATTGACTTGAGCTTTTGAATCACACCATCATGCTCTCCTACAAAACTATTTTCTTTTTTACATGCAATGAATGTGGATCTTCAGCTAGATGGGTCTTCAGGTTCAGTTCTCAACATCTTTATCCGCTTTTCCAGCCTCTCCATCCATTCATTTCTGAGCCTAAAGACAAAAACACCGGTCAGATTGTCCATTTTTTTAATTATTATTTTTTATTTTTTTTTTCTTCAGGGAACAGATTTGTACTCATCATCTCTCCCACTGATGCTGTCATACAGATCTTTTCACTGTTTGCCGTCAAAACTGTTCTGCACACGTAGAGAATTTTGCTGGATGGAAGTTCAGGACTAGTTCTTAAATCTGATCATCTGATCGTTGTGGTTCATCTTCATCTCCCGTGGCATCCCCTCTCAAGTGCCTCTGTGCCGAAGTGACTTGTCATCTCCACTGGAGATTGCCTGCTGCCACCTGGTGGGTAGCATCACCCAACGTTTCCCCAGTTCCCCTCCTCGGAAACACGTTAGCAAAAAGCTGTATAGAGACCTCTGAACTATTTGGCTTAGAAATACCGCACATGTTGAAAGTGGTGATAGCTGGAAGTTTGTTTTATTTTCTGGTAGTATCTAGATACTACAGAAAGCTGCCTTAAAAAGAAAAGACAAAAATTTCACATCAGAGAAACTGAGATGTTGAAATTAGGACTTAAAAGTGGGTAAAGCTTGTTAGAGACTGACTGCAGTGTTCTTTCATCCAGGGCTATTAATACAAGCCCTTTGTTGCCCTTATTTTGCTAAACATTAACTCAAAGAGAGATATGAGGGGAATTTTGAATAAATGATTTCTTTTTGAATGATCCCAAGTCAGAATATCTATCCTTGCACATGACTTAAACTCTGGGAGACTTCATGTGGAGTAAAACTGTACTATTGATGCTGCAGCAGACTGGTCTTTCTTGATTTGTCTGATTTAGGAAATTATGACTAATTGAAGTAAGTGTAACTATGGATGACAGTTGTCTTGGTCAGATAGAATACTTGGACCATATTACGGACTTATCTTGTGCAAATTAAACCATGTGAATTAATTGAACCTATATTCTTGGCAAAGCCACAGAGAAAGAAAGTGAACCAGGTACACATATGCACTAGCCCTGCTCTGAAAAAAAATTGATGTTTAAGATAAGACAATACTGCTAGAAGTTTTCCTAATAACTTCAGAAAGTTCCACACTTTGGTCCCATTTAGTGAAGAAGAGTAAATTATTCTCTTATCCTCTGAAGCCCTAGCTAAAACTAATTGCCATTATCATGTCAGTTTGGGAAGCTTTATTATTTTCGCAAAATCTAAGGAAAATAAACATTACTTTCAGCTTTCATTAAATTACATTAATACAGGTCCACTTTTCTTTTAAAAAGAATTACAATGGAAACTCAAATTGTTTTTCCAAATGCAAACTACTTACTTTGTCAGAGCGCTTCTTTGCTGACGTTCTTTTTCAATTTGCAGATACCGAGTTTGTTGTTCAATAGTCTTTTCCCAGAAGTTTCTCAGGTCACTGGTTTCACATCCCCTCACTTCGTGACGTATGTATTGACTGTTCATTTTCTGTGAAAGAGAAATGTGAAACACTTTTGTTACAAGTTCTTGGTCCCATGTATGTTTACATGGTTGAAGCACAGTACTGATGTTTTGCACTCTCACAGAGTTACAATCACATTGTTTTTTATGTAGGACAAAGATAAGAGTGGACAATTTAAACTTCCCATTCCTAGCTCTGACACTTGTGGATATGCTGTTTACAGTGATTTGAATTCTTTTATGTTAACCTCAGGTATTTCTCATCTCTGTCTGTGATCTTTAAATTTAAAATGTGGAACAGTTCTATTATTTTCTCTAGCTTAAAGATTAAGATATATTTTATAGTACTCAAAAATGAAAAGAAATAAAAATTGTCAAATCTAGTGGGATTTTTCTCACAGCTTTTTTTGTCCATAACATGATGAAATAACCTTTGTAGATTAAACTTAAAATAATGAAGAAAAAGAACTCTGGTGATTTACTGTTAATGATTTTATTTTTTACTGTAATTTTCTGGGGGAAATAAGAAAATTTACATGTAAAAATACATATGTACATATCGTTAAAAGATGGTTATTTGCAAAATCCACTGTGTTTATTAAATACTGTGCCGTCTTATGTAACTTTCAAAACAGAGCAATTTTATTCTGTGTGTTTACATACCTGTGTCCATTCTGTTCTTCCTCCTTCATTTAATGTCATCTTAAAAATAAATTTGGAATTAAATGTTATCCTATGAAAGGAATTTCTGTCTCAGGATGAGTTCGTATTAGGCTAACAGTCAAGCTCTTTTATGTCACATTCCAGGCAGAAAAAACATATCATTACTTTCAAAATTTTGGTAAATATGTAATGAAAATATAGCTTCCAAATAGTGAAAATATAGCTTCCAAATAGCGGTGTGGTTTTATATGGCACTAAAATATTTGCCAGGATGCTTTTTTTTTTTTTTTTTTAACCAAGGGGCTCTCTTGTATTTAGGTATTTAGGGCTCTCTCATGCATTATTTGAATTCATGGCAATTATTTGCAATTTATTTTAATCAGAGCCATAGAGAGCTTGTAAACAAGCCCCTCAAGGCTACCTTGGAAAAGCTTGAAGGAGCTGCTGCCATTTCCCTGCCAGCCATGGTAAGAAAACCAAATTGGGAACCAGTAATATTTACATAATTACATTTGGATATTTTACTGTTTTATGACAAACTGTAAGACACATTATAAAGAAACTGTGAGTGGAGAACAAAAGTAGCCTTTTGAAGAGGTTGATTTCTTTCTGAGGTTTTACAATGACTTCACTGTGGTTCCTATAAACCACCCATACATCAACACGTGTTCTCTGAATGATAGAACCTGTGCATCTGAGCCTGCGTTTTGCATAAATAAATAAAATTAATTTACTGAGCATTTTTTCCAGGTTTTGAGCAACTTATTGCTGGATGTATGTGTTAGCATCAGTCCTTAATGTGAATTGCAAGTACAACTGAACATTTTCAGCTGTGTTAAGGGACAACCAATTCTGGGTCAAAAGCTCTTTTAATATGAGGACATGTGCTCATAAAATATACGTATTCTATAAATCTGCATATATATATCATACAAACCCAGTTTCCCAGATAGCAGTTACTACCCTCTGTAAGTCTGTACCTAGGGGTAGTCTAGACAGTTATGAAGAAGCAATAGTGACAGCCATCCAAGTGAGACTAATGGACTTTTTACCACAGGACTTAATCTTTGAGAATAACAATATTTCTGAAGAACACCAGGCAAAAATCCCAGATCCTCAGGCTCCAAAATAAACACTGACAGGAAATAACCACCCCTTGTTACTTTAATCAGAAGTGGTCCTAAAATATAATATATTCATGTTTCTGAATGTAAATTCCTGTTTACTGTGGATGTTGTTTTTGTTGTTGTTGGTGGTGTTTTTTTTTTTGTTTGTTTTTTTTTTTTTTTTCTTCTCCATGTATATGCATGAATAGCTCTTCTGAATGAGTTAAAGTTCTGAACCACCATCACCATGTATAACTGAGCCCACTTTCAGTATACATGCAACCTTTACCAGTTTCAGATGTTCTGCCTTCTGGTTTGATTGCTTATATTCTTGATGCTGGCTTGAATATGTTTTTATATACAAGTCTTTCTGTCACCCCTTTCCTCACAAAAAATAATAAAAAATCCCAAAGCAAAAGTTTTAAACCCTCTAAAAGAGAGCTGTTCTTCAGCGTTATTCAGCAATAACAGTACAATACAATACATTGGTATGTTTTTCTGTTTATCATCAGTGAAATTGTTTTTGCTCGCTCAGACACACTAAGACCATTGTCCAAGCCTATACGTCTTTAGGAAAACTTTATTTTGCATTAACAAATGGATACCTTAAATTGTTGAATTTTTCTCATACTCAGCCCTTGATCTTCCTCTTTATTTTCTTTCCTCCTGACAGTGGACAACACCTGAATACTTATCAACTGAACCTAGAATTTCTGCATCATCATATTACTGATCCTTTCACATCTCAACATTAAATCCATGATAAACACCAGTATATCAATGCATCACAACTCTTATTGCTCAGCTGTTGAATCATCCTACCCTAAACAACCTTTTACTTCAAACCTGCTATTTAAGGCCATTCATTCAGTGATTGCAAGAACTCCTCAACAACTCTGCTAAAATAACCCCCTTGGTTTCCTTTACCTTTATACATCATGCACATAGACATTAGAGTTCAACTCTGTCCAGGCTTTCATTTCAATGTTGTTGTCATAAGCCTTCAGGATTGTGGGGAAATCACTGATATCAAACCTAGTCTATCCGTATTTCACTTCTCTCAGGATACACTTTCTGTGCTAACATCTTCCGCCAGTGATGACAACTCTCTATTTTCTTCTCCTACTCCATTTTTTATTTCCGGAGGAAAGTACCAGGACTTAAGCCTGTATTGTGGCTTCACACCAGCAATTATCAACTGGGTACAGTTTATTTTCATGGCTTGGATCTTTTTCAAAGCGGAAAACGAAAGGGACCTTGTTTAGCAGAGAAAGACATCATGGAATCAGCCTCCAAAACATCCTGAACAATCTCTATGTATACTATAACAAGTTGGCAGAAATATACTGTTAAATCATATAGGCAGTTCCAATAGCCCTTTTATAGGTCTTTCAGTTAGGCCTGTCTTAAACTAGTGTGCAACAGCTAGGACTAAACTAAGCTTTATTCAAGTCTCTAGTGACAATCCTTCCATATGACAATAATGAGAGTCTCTTCTCCGTAATCATCTTTGACAGAGCACTAGTTGTTAGCTAGCTGAACAAATGTAGTTGTTCTCAGACGAAAGGAATAGCTAGATAAATTCTAGGAAGGCTTTATCTTATACAAGATGGACGTGATTGTTTATTTTTAGGTTTAATCATTTTGGAACAGGTTGATAATATTTAGACTCAATTTGTTAAAGGAAATCTTACAAAGGTAGGGAAACAGTGACACTGGCACTGTTATCTGGAACTGAAAAAATGTGTTGGTAGAACAAAAGAAGGGAATGTAAGATCAATTCAGTGTGACATCTTGACTCTTTTGTAAGTAAAAGAAATCAATAGATTGAAGCTGGAACTTACTGGTTCTATGAGAAGCCATTACACCAAGAAAAACATGTTGTTTCTTGAAGAGAATTGGAAGTTGCTTATCTAGAAAATGGTATGTAAAGAAAAGAGTGTTTTGTTGTTGTTGTTGTTGTTTTCTTCCTTTTCCCTGTAATAGACCATAAATTGTTATTTGAAATGTATGTTTGGTTTGTTTGTTTGCTTGTTTTTGTTGATTTTTTTTTTAAATTTACAAAACATCTGCATGAATCAGGAAAGCTATTCTTATCCTTGTCTTGTATATGGCATAACACAATTACTCAGAGTTTTGAAGGCGCTATGCATCTTTGTAGAAATAATCCTATATTTTATCCATCTACATTTTCATGGACCTTGCTCAGTGACAGTGTTCTTTTTATACAAGCATTGGTGACAGTGTTTATTATAGACACACATTGGATTAATCAAAAGCTGCATGAGGTACAGGAGAGTAGAATCTATGTATGCTAATGCTGATGTTTGACTTTAAAACAATAAGAAATTGGCTTTGAGCTTAGAAAATGGGACTTGAAATTGCAGACATGATTTCGTTCTTTTTCCTTGGATCTTTGGTATATCATTTATCTCCTGCTACTGCAGCTGGCAGCAATTCACATCTCAAAGGACGAACAGAGGTTTGCTTTCAGATAGAGCCTGACTGAGGAAGCACACCAGTTTCAAATTTAACTTAGATCTTGAGAGCCTGAAGGACTCTTTAGGGACAGAAGAAAGTAGATCAATCCCCTGTACCCCTCTGTTTGTGTGTCAGGTCGCATAATGCAGCCTGCCTCGTGAGTGTTGTGCAGGAATGAGGCGGTATGTTGGGAGGGCAGAGGCTGCCTGCCTGCACAGGCCAGGATGTGGCACCTCAAAAACAAAAACAAAAAAAGGCAACAGAGTCTAGCAAGGCTCGCTAGATAGGGTCAACATTGAACCTGGCGTATTTCTGGTGTACACAAGGCCCTGAAACCAGCCTAGTCTCTTTTGAAAATGCTGTAGTGTGTTACATCAGAAAAAAATGTATGGCTTGTATGTGTGCAACCCTATGCTCTTTCCATTTGTACTTCAGCCTTATACTTTATCAATCTATGCTTTTCTTTCTAAACAGTGAAGTATGGAGTTTGCAATGAAATAAGTGAACTCTAGACAAACGATTTATTCTACCATTGGTCTTTCCTAGTTTTGCAGACCTTGAAACACTCTGTTGTCAGGATGTGCTCAGTCAGGAGGTCTTTTTCTGTCTAAAAGGTCCACTCAAATTAATTGGACTTTTGCATGTGATGGGAGTTTTTCCTGTATGAAAATGGCAACCACATTGACACATCTGAGTAATACTAATAAGAGTTATCTGAATGCATGAGTTACAACACATACACATCTAGCAAATCAGTTAATTAGTTCTGGAATATGCAAATCAAAATGTTTGCAGGTAGCAACCATGCAGTAGTCTCATTTCAGCCATTCTTGTTTCTCTTGTTTCTGATTACTAGAGTGTTTTTTTTGTTTGTTTGTTTTGTTTTGTTTTTGTTTGTTTGTTTGTTTTTGTTGTGGGCCTGTTTTTCAGCTTTGGAGAACAACTTTCTTGAAATGTATTGAGGTATAACAAAATTTGGACCTTTTCTCAGATAAAACTTTTACAAAAATGAAACATGAAAAAGACATGATTCTTGGTGTCTGTATTCTGTCTTCATATTATACTGCTAAAGAGACAATATCAATGCCTTTGAACACAACACACTAAGTATTTTCTTCTGTCCTCTTCATCTGTTGGGCTCCAGTTCTCTTCACTGGTGTTCAGTCTTTCCTGGATATCAGATACATTAATGATTGAACTATTGAACTGGAGGGAACTGATTGTCTGCCTTGGTTTTCTGCACTTGAGGGCTCAGCAGTCCTCCACCGGTGCGTTAAAATTCTTAAAATCTTTTGAGCAAAACACTTGAGGAATCAAAAGTTTTATTTCTCTCCAGGTCACCCATTCATCTGTTACTATCCTTGTTCTGTTCTTGTGCCTATTTATTTATTTATCTACTTGCTCTCCTGCGTTCTATTCTTCTTGCTGACTTCGGCCCACAGCTAAGAACTTAAATGAGAGAGACCTTTACCTTTCTATTCTCTGCCTTCATGTCTGTTGATCTTCCTCCTCCTGCCCCCTTCACCTTTTATGCTAATCCTCTGGTTTTCACATCCCAGCCTAATTTGGCTGCCTCAAACCTCCTTTTCTGAACATTTTTTTCCAGCTCATTTTTTCAGCTCTGTTTTACTCTCTGGATCTCTTTTTCTCCTTGTTGCTGGAGCTGCATTTCTCTGTAACTGCCCTTACTGATCTCACCAACCTTCCCCATGAGCATCTTTTCAGCACCCCTCTGCTCCCCAGCTTTTCCTGTGTCTAGTTCTCCATGACGGCTGCCTGTGTTCCCACAGGTTCTGTCACCAGGACACAGACAAGACAGTGATGACAGTTACACAGAGTCAAGCGTTGAGTGAATAGATTTCATAAGCATCATACAATACAGAACATCCAAATGCCTTTCATGAGCTTTCCATAGATTTGTCCAGCTCTTATTGGATTTTAATTTTCAACATTTAAAACTTATTTAAAGAAGCTGTAGTTTCTTCACATGATCTAACATCTTTTCTAACCATTAAGATTTTCCCCTCTGACAGATACATTTGAAACCTGATCTTATAAGTTGCTGAATTAATAAGATCAAGTATAAAACATAAATTAATATTTATAAGTAGCAGACCAAGGATCTTGAATGTGTTTTGTTTCATTGTTTGATTTCTGAGTACAGGAGGGCTTGATGATCTAGGATCAAAGAAGTGGATAAATCTTGCCTGGGGCTCATGTTATTCATTAGATCATTCAGTTCTGACAAAACATGCAAGAGAAACAGGTCCTGATTCATGTGAAAGTGTCTGCTGTTAAATTAAAAAGCCTCTCAGTAGCCGATCACTGTTAAAAACCTTTGCAAGAGGAGTACATATGTAACCTTAGCTATCATTCAAGCCCATCAGATGACAATGTACAGCTACATCTCCTGGTGTTTCATCCAGGGTTGTGGTATGGAAATTGCCTGTAAATATTTTTTCTGTATCAATGCTACTCAGCTTTCTTAGAATGCTGTTAAACTGGGCACTCTTCCCTGACATTTTCCTCACACTCTCTTCTTTCCTAGAATATACTTTTGTGAGAATTAAAGTTAGGGAACAACTGCATTTCTGGTTTACATTATTGTGAAAAAATTGTTATTAAATAAAAAATATACTTACTTACCTCTGGAGTTGCACTCTCCCTGCAAATAAATCCTCTTTGTGACACAAACAAATGAGGAATATTACCACTGCAGCCCTGGCTTCTCCAGTGTCACAGGGCAGTAATGAAATGCATCCCTCGGTACTTTTTATTTGAAGTGGGGGTAACATAAATCCTTCATCATATCAAGGCTATTTTGAACAGAACCAGTACTGAGATAAGATCATTTAATGAACTTTGCAGCCCCCTGCCTGAGATGACCATGAAACACAGGCCCCCCTTGAGAGCGTGCATCCCTCCCACACTGGCAGATACCTCAGAGAGCATGACTTGGCAAGTGCTGAGAATTATTCTTTAAAATGCTTGCTAGTATTATCCATTTTAATATTCATCCTGTGAAGCTTGAAAAATTCCACACTACTATCTTAGCTGTAATGAAGGTTGAAGTGGTGTGACAAATCACACTTGGTTTTGCATTACAGGGTGACTTACAGAAGTATGCAGTACTTTGGAGCCGTTAATCTAAGGATGTGTGCTTGATTATGACCTATCGCACAATCTGTTCTCTTCAAGGCAATAGTCATAGGAATTGTCTGTTTGGTTAAAATTAGCTGACAGAATGCTTTAAACCAGCACTACTTTTACCATTTGGAGTTGTTAAAACTCTACTAAAGATGAGAACTTGTATCATTTAATTTCATTTTCTGAGGAAAATATTTTGTAGATTTGGTTGATGACAGATGTATGAGCTGATCTCAGTTTTCATTAAATCCATCTATATTGCTAAATTACCATATGTGACTGCTGGCTTGAGTAGTATTTATGACATTGCTGATTATTTTAACCTTCTTTTGTTGTCATTTTTCAGACCACAAGTAGCAAAAGCAGCAGCCATTAGATGGATGATTTCTGTAGTTCATATTTCTTTTCTTTTCTTTTCTTTTTTTTTTTTCTCCTCTTCTTTTCCTTTTATTTATTTATTTATTTATGTATTTTCCGGACAGCTTTACTGCAGAATACCATGAGCAAAGCCTGACAGATGCAGCCTTCCTTAGTAAAGGAAAATTCCAATTCATTTCAAGTACTGGTCAGTTTATTTAACTTGTTAAAGGCTAAAGTATAGATTTTCTTCAACATGTTGTCTCACTGCCTATCGTATGAATCCACAGAAATAAGCTCACTTGCCTGAACATATGATAGCAGAAAAGGTCTATGCTCTTAGAGATTTTAATTCCAGATATATGCATTGCATTGAAGACAAACATGACTCTCTGCAAATCTAGAAAACTAGATCAGAATCTGGCTGGTTTTGGAAATCCCAAGCAAATAAAGTGTACTTGGTCAATATTAAAATAATCACTATTATAAGGACAGATGGGTACCTAGCCTGAATATAACAATGATGCTAACCACCATGGTGCTGCAGAGCAGCATAATTTCTTCCCTGCAGTTTGACTCAGAGCTTCAGTAACTAATTTGCAAAAATTAGAATTTTATTTTGAATGTCAAATGTAGAAAGTAAGTTTCCTAAACCTTTGCAAGCATCTTCCTTCAGGAGGTTACTTCAGTGTCCAGGCTTCATCAGACCAGAACATATATTTCTGGTCTGATACGTTCTAGGTGTATTGATATTTCTGCATTTGTGCAGATTAGAAGTTCTGTGTAAAGCACAGCCAAGGTGTGGTAGACATTGCATACGCTCAGGTTATTTACAGCATATTAGATACACATTGTATACACGTTGACTGTATTTACAATGAACAATAGATCTGTGTATTCACATGTATTATGCAAGCTAAATGGGCACCCAGCATCCTGAAATCTTGGACAGAATTCGTACTCTGCTGGGCTACCCAGATCAGAATAAATAATCAGGTGGAAGGTGACTGAAAAGACATACTTCACCCTCAAAAGTATTGCAGCTGTCATGTAGGCTTTTATGCAGTGAAAATTATTTACGAAATTTTCAGTTGCACCTCAGTCTTTGTTTACTTCATAAACAAGTCTCCTCAAACCTGTTTAACATAACCTGCTTATATGACAGAGCTCATCTATAGTTTGCAAAAGTACTTGTAAACAACTGTTTAATGTCATTAGCAGATACCTTAGAAAAATCTGTAAAATAACTGACAAAGTGCAAACCTCTGGAGCACCTGGGGTGTTACTTGTCTGTAGCAATCAAATTCTGCCTCTGTGTTCTTACTGTGCTGTTGTCTTGTGTAGGAGAGGTAGAAATAAAAGTAGCAAGAAGCTCTTACTCTCACAGAATTATATCTGGTACATTTTGGCCATAATTTGTCAGCCTGGCTTCTTCATTGTCTTTTTTTTTCTTTTTTCTTTTTTTTTTCTTTTTAAAAAACAAAACAAACAAACAAAAAAAACCACACATGCTAAAGAGGAGGAGGCAAAAGGAGAAGGCATTTCACAAAGTCTACAAGAACTTTCTATTTAAGTGAACTTCTCATACTCTTTTCTCTTTGATGTTAGAGAAAATAAATTCCAGAGAGATAAGATTTTAAAGCACACACTGTACCATGTTGTTGAGGCATTCTTTTTCTTTATTCATTGTGCATACAGTATTCACATCCTTCTCATTCTAGTTTGATTCAATGACAGTCAGAAACATGAGAGGAGGAGTTTCTGTCACTAATGGATCTTGTCCTTCCTGGTCTAGGAGCAGCACAGGCCGGAGCAGTTTTAATAGCCCTCTCCAAGCTTCACAAATTCCTGAATAGAGCAGATAACTCAGAGAGTAGGTAAAAGTATAATAAATTTAGGCATCTATTTTCCCATGGTCATTAGCTGTTTTAGATATTTCTGTAAATATATGCAGTGTGAGTTTTTTAAAGTCCATCTTTCAAAACCATTAGATTGGGTCGTTCAGTGGGTCTAGTGAGTGAGGCACAACAGGCAGGAGGTTTCTCTAGGGACTGTCCTACAGCTGATGCCACACGCCTGTGTGGAGGTCTGGTGTTTCCTTGGTTCCCAGTCACACATGCATTGATTTGAACCCTGTTATCCTGCAATGACAACTCAGAAAGTGCATCTGGAGAAAACAAATCTGCTTAGAAGTTTCTAGCCCTGCCTACTGGATATGACACTGAATGTTTGTCTAAAGTTTATGGAAAAAAATATCATGACCGGACAACTGAAAAAGTCAATTAATTTCACTATGGTTTCAAAATCATTTTTCCTCTCCTGGGAAAAGCCTTGGATTGGACAGTGAGAAATCAGCAGGGACTAGTTTAGATAATAGAAAAAAAAAAAAAAAAGAAAAAAAGTAGATATAGGAATACACAGGAATACTTTTCATCCACATTGGATTTTTCCTCTGAGTGCATTCTGGATGGTGCATATATCATAACATCCATGTCTATGACACACAATTGTTTTCTTTATAGTACCTCTTATAGGATGATCTCAAGGTCAGTAAAGCAGCAGATTGAAGAGCTGACATATTTTATTAGCTGAATGAAACTTCTTCTGGACACCAATTACATGATATCTGTAACATTTATAGAGGTTGCTTGCTGTTTATTTGCAATTGTAGTATTGCCTTTGTGACATGGACATGAAAAATTAGATAAAGAATCACAGAATCATTTAGATTACAAAAGACCTTCAGACCTTCAGTGCTCTGCTTCAATACGATAACATGTAAGATCCACTAATACCTTTCCGTAATTCTCCCGTTAGTTGCCTGCTTGCAGCTTTTATTCTGTGATTCTACTTTTCCCAGGAATGTAAAGTTTTCAAGCAGTTTAAATTACATTAGGCTGAAATTTAACCACTAAAGCTGCTATATACACAGTTGCTTTCCCATGGAAGTGTATGTAATTAGCTTGGTTCCTTGCACTACAGGGGGATTCTGCTACAAAGGAGAAAAAAGGCTGCTGGTGTCACCTACTCTCTGTCAGCATTTCCATGTGTTTGAAACTACCTTAAAGTCCACATCAAATGTCCTTCTACAGGGACCTGTCCAGAAAGGCTTCTATGATGATGATTTGAATTTGCCTGCAAATCTGGCCTGGATGTTTTTTGCATCTTACTATGGCACCAGCATTAGGAACTCAATTGCTCCAGACACCCTCAGGCATCAATTTAATGAGTGCAGGAAAAAGGTTTTTGATCTTCTGTTAAAATCAGACAATGCAGTGTGCTTCAGTGCACATGCTGTTTGAACTGAGGCTGGGGCTGTTCTACGCCCATACAGTCCATGGAAAATGAACAGGATCTCAGTGGGGTAATGCAGTCTTCTGCATATCTTTTCATAGATATGAAGTTATATTATTTTTTTCCTACACAGCCAAATTGTGGATACTTCAGTTAGATGAAGTTAAATGGGATGAGTTGGGGATGTTTGAGACTTCAGACTTGCTTCCAGAAAATATTTGGAGGTCCACAGGGACTTTGTTTTTAGAATTTATTTAGATGAGTTTGAGAAATTTTATTTAGAAAGAAGGTAAGGTAGGAGGAAGAATGGCTAAGGTCCTTAAGGAATCATCCCTGATTCTTTAAAAAGTAAAATTAGTGGTCATGAATAAATCTGTGGTTTGAGACCCAGTGTAAAGTAACACAAGGATGTTGTAGCTGTACCCCCAGCTTTAACTTAACTAAAACTAGACTTTGGATCAAGAATAAAAGTATTTAGATACACTCATTTTCCTTCTATCAGTGTATCAGAGAGAAGGGATATGGGTGTCTTACCCCTCAGGGCGTATCAGTGGTCTCCTACAGTGCCTTATTATGACCAATTAACTAAACTAAGAAACACATTGTGTTTTGCTTCTTGGCTTCTTCAAGATTGTACCAGTTAGCATTAAAAAGGCAGCCCTGACTAGATGGGGTGGACCTGAGACCTAGAAGAGGATGAATATGAGATCTGAGAACCCATTCTGCCTCTCATGTATTCTTCCTGGAGACAAATCTGATTTTAACTCTTACACTCAACCCAGTAATGAAAAGTAATGTCGGATGTGAAAGGTTGTCACCACAATGTTTCTTGTAAACACTGAGACCCAAACTGACCATTAGCTCTTAGAAGCTGTCATTAAAAAGTCTCTGAGTAAAACAATCCTGAGTGAGTGAAGATTGCTGGCAAGATTACAG